GTTCGCGAACGGGTGCGCGAGGACATGCTATCCAGCGCAAAGATTGAAGAAGGGCGGTCGGTCGATCGAAGTTTTCAATCGCTACCATGTCAGGCTCCAGCACGTCTGGAGGCCGTCTTTGGGTTGCGAGGAAGCGCGTAGGTTTGAGGAAGCGTTTTGAGAGAGGTTTGAGAGACGTCCGTCGGAGCGGAGCGAAAGCTTTGGTGGTGTCTTGAGGTCAATTGAACCAGCTGCGGTCGGCAAGCATTCACAGTGACCAGACCAGGTGCACCGTTAGAATAGCTGTAGAGTCGCTCAATCCCGAGGATAGGGAAAGTCACAAGAGAGCAGAGCACACAGGAGAGCAAGGGGAAGACAGAATGGCAGAGGGCTTGACGTACCTGCGGTCGGCAAGCATTCACAGTGACCAGACCAGGTGCACCGTTAGAATAGCTGTAGAGTCGCTCAATCCCGAGGATAGGGAAAGTGCAACTCGTGCCCGACCGCAGGTGTCACAACAAAGGGAAACAACAGTAGCCACAAGCTTATTGCCCCAGGGCAGCTGCCCAGGCATCGTGGGGACCGCGTCACACGCGGTGTTTACTCATGTGACTGCCACGAGGAGGATCAAGCCCAGGGGGTCCAAAAGTAGGTGTCAATGTGTGAGGTCGTCGTAGCTATGGAATACCAATAGGAAGACCCATAGCGACCGATGCTGAGTGTGTGCGAAAGCAGTGGGAGTGTTCAAATGCGTGGAAGCACGGATTTGACGCTAACACAGTGTCGATATACCAAATCTCCTCTTCCCTTCAGATTTGGGGCTTAGGAGTGCACGTTCTTACGAATGAACGATAGATATCGCCCTTGTCTGATGCTTCTGAAGGCCAGTTTTGGGTTGCAAGGAAGCGCGTAGGTTTGAGGAAGCGTTCTGAGAGAGAGTTGAGGGACGTCCGTCGGTACGGAGCGAAAGCTTGGATGGTGTCTTGAGATCAATTGAACCAGCCATCATCCGCGTTACCACACACACGGCGTCCTTTTGATCTGATGATGCCAGCTGCGGTTGGCAAGCATTCACGCATTTACAGTGACCAGACCAGCTGCACCATTAGATTAACTGGAGAGTCGCCCAATCCCGAGGATAAGGAACGTGCAACCCGTGCCCAACCGCAGGTGCCACAACAAAGAGAAAAAAACAGGAGTCACAAGCTTATCGCCCCAAGGTAGCTGCTCAGGGATCGCGGGGCCCGCGATGCACGTGGTGTTTGCTCATGCGACTCCCCTGGGAAGGGTCAGGTCCAGTAGGTCTAAGTGTAGGTGTGTGAGTCGGGGAGTGGAGTCGTAGCAGCTATGGGGCTCCGGTGAGAAGACCCATAGTGAACGACGCTGAGTGTGTGCGAAAGCAATAAGCGTGCTCAAATGCGTGGAAGCACTGATTTGACGCTAACAGATTCAGAGTCAAGAGCATCTTTTGAGCAATTGTCCGACATGTACGAACGAGACATAAAAGGCGCGAGCATAGCCTCAAGAGTGCAAGGTTTAGTGAACATTGAAGCGAGCTTTCCAGTCCCACTGGCCATCGTTGCGGTACCACGCAATTTTGTCACTGTTCTGGCTGGCGCTAAGAACGTCGAGATCGCCGTCTCCGTCCAGATCTGCTGCATACACCGAGCGAGCGCCGCCGGCAGCGGTGGATATGATGAGCTGCGTTAAAAAGGTGCCGTCGCCGTTGTTGCGGTACCACGCAATCTTGTTGTCATAGTAGCTTGCGCTGAGGACGTCGACATCGCCGTCTCCGTCCAGATCCGCCGCATACACCGAGCAGGCGCCGTCGGCGGCGGTGGAGATGATTATCTGGGCCGAGAAGATGCCGTCGCCTTCATTGCGGTACCACGCAATCTTGTCGTCGTTCCAGCTGGCACTGAGAACGTCGAGATCACCGTCGCCGTCTAGGTCTGCTGCATACACTGAGCGGGCATAATCGGCGGCTGTTGAAATGATGATTTGGGGGGAAAAGACGCCGTCTCCTTCGTTGTGATACCAGGCAATCTTGTCGTCGTTCTGGCTGGCGCTGAGGACGTCGACATTTCCGTCACCGTCCAGATCTGCTGCATATACTGAATGGGCAGAATTGGCGGCGGCGGAGATGACGATCTGGGCGGAAAAGGTGCCGTTGCCCTCGTTATGGTACCACGCAATCATGCCGGTGTTGTGACTGGCGCTGAGGACGTCAAGATTACCGTCGCCGTCCAGATCTACCGCGTACACAGAGCGGGCGCTGCCGGCAGCGCCCGAGATGATGATCTGGGCAGAAAAGGTGCCGTTGCCCTCGTTGCGGTACCATGCAATCTTGCCGTCATTCGCACTGGCGCTGAGGACGTCGATCCGACCGTCGCCGTCCAGATCTGCCGCATACACCGAGTGCGCCCCGGTGGCGGCGGTGGAGATGACAATCTGGGCGGAAAAGGTGCTGTTGCCGTTGTTCCGGTACCACGCAATCTTGTCGCTATCGACACTGGCACTGAGAACATCAAGATCACCGTCGCCATCCAGATCTGCTGCATATACCGAGATGGCACCGTTGGTTGCGGAAGAGATGACAAGTTGCTCTGGTGTGCTCCACATGCTTGTTGTCGCTTCAAAAAGGTAAGCAAAGGCCGCCTCCACATTGATACCATTGACCACCACTTTTTTCGTTGAGTTGATGTACAACGTGCCAACCTCATCCACCGTAATTGATGGTTTTTGGGCCGCCGCGATCAGTACCGCACACAGCGCCCAGGCCGAAACAAGCACCTCCACGGTGCAGTGACCCCTCATCAATGGCGCGATCATCATGTTCCTCCACTCCAATTCAGGCTGGCCAAGGCGGACGCCTACCCCTCGCAAGCAAAATGCGTTTGAGAGCGGTGTCGTGTGTGTGTGTGTGTGTGTGTGTGTGTGTGATCGGACTCACAAAGTTTGTAAATTTATGGTCAGTCCCTAAAAACAGTACACGAATGCAGTGAACATTTGAATACTTTCTTCTGGCTCAGCTTGAGCCTGAAAAGCAAGACGTTATTGACATGTGAATCCGATGGAAAAGCCTCACGCTCCCTTTTTCTCTCATGCCATGCCCAAATTTGACCACGGGAGCTGCGGCATTGAACACGTCTCGTGTCAGATGATGGCATCCCCAACGATGCCCCCGCTCAAATGATCGCTGAGAACTATCGAGTGAGCCTCAGGCTCGCGTCTTCAGTCCTTAACCACACACACGCTAACAGCTACACACAGCGTTTCTAGTTTGCGCGTGCAACATCACCGAGGGCCAAGCTCTAGTGCCGTCTCGAAAGACGCTTCACGCCACTTGGTGATAAAAAATCATCATCGGACAGCTCAAGCCAAGGCCACCACGCTTTTAAACATTCCAGATGGATGATTATGGTATCATGCTTTGGAGCGGGGGGCGGGGCGGGTTGGGTAGGTGGGTGGGTGAGCGATGGCAATATTACGAATAGGGTACAGTGTCGGAAAGTGACAGCCAAAATATCAACTCAACGGCCTACCACTCAGAAAGCTTCAGTCAAGAGCACCAAGAGCATCTTGTATCGAGGTCGATCGGCCGACTTGACAAGGCGCAAAGACGGTCCCAAGACAACAAGTCAGCATTGAAGTGACTTCCCAGTCCCTCTGACCGTTGTTGCGGTACCACACAACCTTGTCCTCCAGAAAGCTGGCGCTGTTCTCATCGAGATCCCCATTGCCGTCCAGATCAGCCGCATACACAGAGTGGGTAAAGTTGGCGGTGGTGGAGATGATGCGCTGCTCTGGTGGGCTCCACCATATGTTCGGTGTCACATTAAATAGATAGGCAAGCGCCGCCTCATGCGTACGCCGTTGAGCACCACTTCTCCGGTCGGGATGAGCACCACATCTCCAATCGCGTTATTGTGTTATTGTGCACCGTGCCGGCCTCGTCCACGGTGATCGACGAGTCCTGGGCCGCTATCGTCATGACGAGCGCCCAGGTCAAAACCAGCACCTTCACGGTGCAACACCTCCTTTTGTGTGCAGATTCATTCATGATGCCCTGCTCATCGACCTCACTGCAATTCAGGCTGACTAGCATGTAAATCAAGGAAGTGGAAGCACATTCAACATTCAACTGGGACTAACATGTGAATTGAGATGACGCTGAAGCGAAGGCTTCTGACTTGGGGGCAGAAGGCAGGAACGTTGTCTCCGTACATCTACAGCAAAGCGAGTCGTGTCGCACGCAAACGGTGACAGAAGCCAGCGTTTGGATTTGATGTGACCACAAAATTTTTTTCTTTCTCTGAGCAAGGCTCCAAGCAAAGGACTGGCACTCGACAGCAGCAACTGCCTTACGGTCAACGCCAACGCTAGAAACGGGATGACTGTACTCCATAAATTGATTGTATTTGAGGATCCACGCCTGGGTTGAACGCGCGGGCAAGTGTGGGGTGGGGCATGTAATTTGGAGCGTGCAATCGCACGCTCATACACCGAAGAGGCTTACCTACAACAAATACGATATCCACTTCAAAAACTATACGTATATTACACGTTAAAACCTCAATTGAACACTAAAACACTACAATAATTTCGATATTAGCAACTAAAACCATGGCTTCTCATAAGAAGAGACCGTGCTTGTATGGGAGTCTCCTTCTCATGAGAAGACATCGCGATCTCATGCGCTGGAGGTGCGTGTGGGGTGTTAGTAGTTCTGGGTCAGGTCGTAGTGGTTGTCGCGTTCGTAGAGGTCGTTGTGGCTTGTCGTGGTTGCAGTGGTCGGTGGTCTGGTATTTTTTCCTTTCCTGACTACCAAAACCGGCATCATGTCGCGACTCATGCTGGCGCGACTGGTTGGGGAGGACGACAGTGGTATGTTTGACATGATGGATCTTCTCCAGACGCTTGATTTGAGTCACGAGAGAAGCGGCTACCGAGAGTACAAGCAGGAAGATCGTCCAAACAAGTGCGTTTGCAACAAGCAGACGACGAACGCGCATGATTGCAAAGTGTTTGGTACGTTCAGGTGCTCCAAGTGCCACAACTCGTGGTCATCCGGCAATTCTTGGTATGATTGGCGGCGGCAGCGCCTCTTGACGCAAGAATGCAAGAGCTGCAACACACCCAACATGCCGGTCACGTACCACCGCCTGAGGATCTCCCAGAGCGAACGAGAGGGTCCGCCGCACCGCCGAGATCTTTGCGCCAAATGCAAGCAGCTGGGCGTAGATTGTTCAAAGCTGAGGCACTCTCGACCTCTGCGCATTGGTCGGCGGTAGCTCTCCACAGTCTCCCTGTCGTGATTGAGTGTTGGGTTCATGCAAGAGTTGTCTGTGCTCCCGTTTGTCTCGCAATTGAAATATTCGTTGTTCACCCTCGGAGTTACGTCATTGTGCTGTGAATAAAACGGCTCAAGTTTTGTTCCTCTGGTCCCTTCCCTACACACGGGCCAGGTCCTCTACGTTGAATGGGGGGTTCAAGCGCAGCTCATAGCAATTGCATCTTGTACATGTTGGCATACCATGACAGAAGGGGGAAGATGAACAAGAATTCGATAGGGAAACAGAGAAAACACGACCAGAAAAATAAAATAAAATAAAACAAACAGCAACAAAATAACACCCAGATAACACCCAGAGCAGCAGCGCTGGCTCCGCAATGGTGCTTGCCCGCGCAAAGTCACGGCGGGTGCATGCCATGTAATAATTACAAGACAACACAAATAAGATCGTTTGTGTTGGTAGAGGTTGCTGATGACCACACGACGAATAATCACGGACGAGACCACTGCGTGTTGGGATACCAGGCCACAATCCCATCTCGAGGGCTCGCGCTGAGCAAGTCCATGTCCCCGTCCCCGTCCAGATCCGCTGCACGAATGCCGGTGACGCCTCGGGCGGCGGCTGTCACGATGATTGGCTCGGAATAGTAGCCGTCTATGGTGTTGCGATACCAGGCCACTGTGTCTTGTAGGCGATTGGCACTGACCATGTCCGGAAGCCCGTCCCCGTCCATGTCCACGCCCAATACAGCGCTGACACCGAGGGCGCTACTCGTGGTCACTAAGCTTTCCGGCACAAAGGTCCCCGGGCCAAGATTTGCATGCCATGACACCTCGTTGTCATTGGCGGAGGCACTCAGCACGTCCAGTTTATTGTCCCGATTGACGTCCATCAGGTCGATGTCGGAAAGGCCGTCATGCCACTTGCTGACCACGAAAGGGCCGTCAAACCGGACAGAGGAGCCAGGGGCACTCGCGAGAGAATTGAGTGCCCAGCTGATGGTGCCGTCGCCCGAATTGGCATAGACAACATCAATGCGCCCATCGCCATTCAAATCACCGGCTCGAACTGCACGAACGCTTGCGGCAGAGTCGGTGATTACGGCGGCACTGTCGAAGCCACCCCCGACGAGATTGTAATGCCATCGCACTCGATTATCCGTAGGACTACAGGAGATAACTTCGGGTCGGCCATCTCCGTTCAGGTCAGCCGCGGCAAGAGAAACGGGGCCCATGCTATCGGCTGACAGACTCTGGGTCGGGGCAAACGTGCCGTTGCCGCGGTTGAGGAGCCAATGAATGGTGCCCGGGTTGCTTGTGGATACCACCACGTCCACCCAGCCATCCAGGTTGAGGTCGGCCGTCGTCAGCGCAGAAACTCGCGCGAAATTGCCCAGCCTGAGAGGTGCCGAAAACAAGCCACCCCCTTGATTGCGGCACCACGCCAGACCCATCATATTGTCGCCCTGGCTGGAGATGACCACGTCGAGATGGCCATCTTGATCCAGATCAGCAACCTCGATGCTTGTTGCACCCGAAAGACTGGCGATGACGCGTCGCTCGGGCAGATCCCAGAGCAATCCAGGTTTGAAGCTAAGGATGCGGCGCCACTCGTTCAGAGCCGGGCCCACGGCACGATCGTTGACCAGCACGCTGTAGCCCAACGCCGGGGTCAAGTACATGGCACCGGTACTGTTCACGTGCAGGCCCGTTTCGCTGGCCGCCAGGCTCACCACATCTTCCAAGTCCGATGCCTCCAAGCCATGGTTTGCGCAGCAAACAAGCACAAAACCCATCCAAACCCGCAGTCCCACCCCACGACCTCCCCACCATCCCAACCGGCCGCGCCCCTGCCCCCTCTCCTCCGCCCCCGATTCCATGCCTTTGAGCTTGGGAATGAAAACCAGAGTGAGAGAGAGAAAATGAATTGGTAGAGAGTTTGAGAGAGAGAGTTTGAGAGAGAGAGTTTGAGAGAGTTTGAGAGCGAGAGAGAGAGAGAGAGCTTTGAGTTTGAGGTCGACCTCGAGGGGGAAAGTCAAGCTCTATAAATCAACTCACAGGTCGAGCATGTGAGGGCGGGGGAGATGGGGCTTGTCTCAATTCAAGGGAGGGGGGTCTAGGAGATGGGCCAGACGTCGATGAAACCCCAGAGAAAGGCGCGGTAGATGGACACGGCACCGTCGGTGGGGCTGAGGGATATGACCTCGGGGCTGCTATCGCTGGAGACGTAGCCCGCCGCAAGTGCACACACGTCTTTGGCGATGGTTGTGACGGTCAAGGGCGGGGCAAAGATCGCACCACCATCGTTGATATGCCACACAATGGTGTTGCTTTGGGCATGTGCGCTCACCACGTCCAGATCCCCATCCCTGTCCAGATCTGCCGCTAGCACGCTGGTGGCGCCCCATGCCTGGTCGGACAGGACTATTTGGGCTCCAAAGTTGTTGGAATCGAGATTGCGGTACCAAGCCACCTTGTGGTCCGCCTCGCTGGCGCTGAGCACATCCAGAAGCCCATCGTTGTCGAGGTCCCCAAAATGGACAGACATGACCTGGTCGGCTTGGTCGGAGATGAGGATCGATCCCATGAGGAGCTCACCGTCTGCCTGGGGACCCTGATTCTCAAGCCAGATTACCTCACCGAGATACCAATTGCCATAGAGAATATCCAGTGCACCGTCGTTGTTCAAATCCACGAGCTGCAGCGTGGTGATAGCGCCCGTGCTCCACACTAGCCGCTTTGCGGGGGCAAATGACCCATTGCCCAAGTTCGGGAACCAATGAATGCTGCCATCACCATAGGCACCCACCACAATATCCGGCCAACCATCGCCATTGAGATCGCCGACTTGCACTACGCGCGGCATCGCCATATCCGCGGGCAATGTCGTCGCTGGGGCAAACCTTGCCTGGCCATGATTGACAAAATAAGCCACACTCTGGTCACTAGCGCTCACCACGTCCAGATCGCCGTCCTTGTCCAAGTCCGCGGCCACCGCACATCGAACCCCTTGGATTGAAGCCGCGATCACCTGCCGTGCCTCGAACCCATCAAAATTGGTGTTGGCAAACCC